AAGAGACCTATCTGCATTTCCTTTCATCAGCCTCGCCTAAACAGATTGGAGATTCTACCTTCCTCTACACCCTCTGGATCTAGGTTTCCTCTTGTAAGCGTTCTTGCCTGTTAAGCCCCTCCATTTTGGGTAGCCAATGTCCAAGTTGCCCATCCCTGTCTACTATGGAGGGGGTGGGAATGATCCTTACTGTAAAGATTTGGTTCTTCTTTTGAGCCACTGTATCCATAGGTGTAGTTCAAGTTCATTAAATTGTATCAGATTATGTTTTTTTCCTCTTCTTTCTTTTTCTAGTTGAGCTCTGATCAGCCATTGAAGCCAGGTCAAATGGGTATTATCTGCAAATGTAGGTGTTCTTGTGCATATGCCCTCGCTTCTTATCAGCTGGACACTTCACTCTCCACTCTAGTCCTCTGTGGTTATGTCACGGACTCTGGGCCCAAGAGTCCCCAGGTCTTGCCACACTGCTGGCCAACCAGGTCTCCACCTGGGTTCACAGCAGTCTATTGAACATTGTAGGGCTTAGCTCGCAGCTTCATTGCTGTTTTTCCCTCACTTCCCCTTATCAGTGACAAACGTGGTCACCAATCGGAGCATGCTTTCCCATTGACTCTTAGTCTTGGAAGGGGATTTGCTCTGAGGGGACCTGACCAAGTAGGAAATTTTTGTACTTGCCAGAATGTCTCTCCTGGGCCATGTCCCACTCTCCAAATTGAGGGCCCAAGTGACCTTTGGGTCATCAAATATCCTACTTCAGATAACCCTGGAGCCAGTCTGTGTTTAGCAGGCAGCATCGCTCCCTGAGGTTGGATTGCCCCCTAGCAATGACTTTCCAGAACACATCTTCCAGCAAGTAAATCCTGAGGTGTGGGCCACCTGGCAACCCGGATGGGTCAAGACAGTGGAACCAGTAGGAACCACCCTGTAGCCCAGGGCCCCTACAATGGACCCAAAGAAGGCTATTGCTAACTATGTCAGAAAACTCATCTCCAATAGACACAGATACTTTTTATTGATTTGCTCATGGTCAGGACGGCCCACGAAGGAGGTCCAAAGGTAGCCCTGTGAATTAGTATATGGGAGACCAGTCCTAAAGAAAACTTCTTCTCCCATTTTGGTTATGACTGAAGTTCATAAGTGTTGACTATGAGCTCTTGACTCTACTTTGAGAACTACTGAGGCATTGGCTTCTCTCTCACTATCTTTCCCACAGGTACTGGCTGGGAGACTATGTGCTGCTCGCAGTGTGGAAAGACCAGTATCCTTACAGTACTCGGTGGACAGGGCCCTTCGAGGTCCTGTTAACTATTCATTCTTCATGAAAGCTTCACACTAAAGTGAAGTTTGCCCCTTGACTTCCTGGGCAAAGCTCCCCAGCTTGATTCCTACACTCACACCCTATAACTGGACAGAAGTATAAATTCACCAAGGGATCATAAGATCACTTGTTTGTTAGCTTTTTACCTGTTTTCATGTTTCTTCCTCGTTAAGAAAGCCCACTTAGTGTTGCAGACCGTGTAAGACTAGTCAGAGGTTCGAGGCCCTCTAGGGCTGAGTGTAACAAATGAGGCCACTGGCAGTTAATGGAAAATTGCTTTCATCTTAATATTCAGGTATATA